TCTGTTCATGTATCCTTAAAGTCTGTATACAGGAAATTGACTATTAAGCTATAAAAGTTAGGGTTAGAGGGAATAGGAGTGCCATTTTCATGACTTGGACTTTGGCAATGAGGTTAGAGATGATTTGGGTCTTTAGGGCACAGCTGTGCTCAGAGGTGTCTGAGTGAGGTGAAAAGTTCTCAGCAAGTATAATGAAAACCATTCTGCTTGAAATGAGGATATGATGCTGCAGGCATACAAGTATAGATGTGCAGAAGAGAAGGTGGAGAGGAGAACATTTGAGGTTAAATGAGGAGGAGGGTTTACAACAAGGCATTTAAAGCAGAGAAAGCCTATGGCATGGAAACGCACGCATGGGCTTGCATTATACCTTCCCCTTTTTCTCTCCTAATTCCTTCTTTGTCTTAGCACCTCAGTCCTCTGACATTCCACACAAATAGCTCAGAGGCTGACGGACATGACTGTCCAGTACACCTCCTTTTCTGCATCTACACCTGCCCATTTTGTCCAGAGGCACAAGAAAAAGCATGCGAGGAATGTCCAGGCATTACTCCAGCAATTTATATTTACATTAATTTTTCTTGTACAGTTCTTCTTGTATCCAGTGGCAGATGATCATCTGGGCTCTCTCAGAGGAGCACAACTGACTCCATAAGAAAAATAACAAATAAAAAATATAGACAAATGATTTTAACAGATGCGGGACACTTTTCCCCCCTAACAACCACCTTTAACGGCAGTTTAATTGGTCAGGAACCATGTTTGTTTTCTTGCATCCATCCATCAATAATGGGCAAGAATTTGGGTTTTACTCCCAATACCCCTACCTATTATCAAACTGTGGTAACTTGATGAAACCCATGCATCATATAGTTAATGTTGAGATAGGTGTTGTTTGTGTTGGATTTATATAAAGGAAAGCAATTTATATAAATTAAGGAAATTTGTGGCAGAAAAATTCAATCGTTGACCTAAAACTAGCACAACTGATGGTAGAGTTTTTAGATGTGCAGCAGATGTATCAAGAAGGCAATGTTTTTTTGTAAAAAATAAAAGAACAAAAAAGATATTATGAATGTAGAACGTAATAGTCAATAGTGTATTAAATGTTGCCACAACTTCGTGTATCACTATGCAGGGATCCAATGCAAAATGTAACCTATTTATAGATATTTTCAAGCAAGAAATAGTGGAGTATGTTATCAGAATCAGAATCAGAATACTTTCTTAATCCCGAAGGAAATTAGGGGATTTTGTATGTTTTTTGACTTTATCATCTGTTTAATTAAAAAGAAATCCTAATTATTTTGCATATATTGGTGTTTATTTTTCTTTAGGTCTTATCACTTCACTATTATAATTCACTATTTGTAACTAATTTCACCTTGATTTAATTATGTATGAAAAAAAGACAATAAGGGGTACCACCAGTAGTTATAATGCTATTTTTTAGTTCTTGTTATGTATTTACAATTTCGATCTTAATATATTTTGGTTGTAAGAAGATCTACACTTCACTGTTTTCTTTTAAATTTGGCTGGACACTGACCCAAAAATCCACTTAATTTTCTTTTGCAGCTGTCTACCTGGCTCTTTTATGGAAGCCATCCCATCAAGTGCTATGTCATAGAATAGCTCAGCCTGTATTAGACTATATGTGTGTGCTCAGTTCAGTGAACTAACTTAAAGCTTTAAAGAAAAGTATAAATGTTTTTGTACTTTGCATTTTGATCTGTGTGTTATATTTATGAGAGTGAATCAAGGAAAATGTTCATAAATAAATGTTCCTTTTAACTTATATGTATTTATTTTCCTGTAGTTTCTGCAGGTAGTTTTTATATACACATTTATATATATCATAAACAGACAAGGAACCATATATATGCTTCATTGAATTTGATTTGTAACATAAAAATAATGCATTTTGGAAAGTCCATGTATTTTAATGAGTAGCCTATGTGGTGACTTATTTTTGTGAAGACGACTCTTGCTTTAAGACTAGTTTCTCCTAAGGTCTGAGTGATGTTTTATTCAATTTTATATATTATATATATGCTCAGGCCTCAATGGGCCATAAATAATATAAAAGGTCATTAATTTGTTGCTAATAATTGCACAGTTTTTTTTCTTATTTTGCAGAACCATGAATAATATATAGGCATTTTTTTTCATATATTACTACTTTTGGTTGCTTATGGTTTTACTGATCTGTTCTGACACTTAAATATCAGTAAGCCAAATGATTGAGTATAAACAAGTATATAAGCTTAATTTACACTGAAACACCTGCTGTTGTAAAAGTCTGGTTTATCTGACAATGCAAATTCTGTTACTTTAATGATCTAATTTTAATTTCTGTTTTCACTGTGACAATTAGGTTTTAAATAAGCTGTCATTAGCTTTGTGAGACAGCAAGAAAAAAACTGGGTCTCAATCAGTGTAGGCTGAAAGTCTACTCTGTGTTGTCAGCAAAATATGGTCTTTATCACAAGCAGTGATGACTAGAAGTCTATGACAATCACTTTTGTACTGTGTGTTCTAATTTTGAATAAAACAGTCACAGAAAGCATTCAGACCCCTTCCACAATCATTTTAAATGAATATAATTGGCATTTTCCCAATGTACTCTTATGAACTCATGATAATAGTGCAATTTTGTTTATAGAAAGGATTAGAAATTTATTAAAGAAAAAAAAAAGAAAATCTCTCATATGTAGATGTTTTTATACTTTTTGCTGTGGCACTCTGGTCTGTAGTCGGGTGCATCCTGTTTGCTTTAAATATCCTCATGATGTATATACAGCTTTACTGGAGCCCACCCGTTCAAACTAAATAATTTAGAAAGAAATGAATAGATCAGGGTAAAGCAAATAAAACCAGGAATTCAGAAGCATTTCTTAAGTATTGTTTGTAGCGCAGTAGCCTCAGTAATGGATGAGGTTTGAAGCTACTAGTTGTCCTGCTGTATTGAGTAAAAGAGCAAACTGGGAGGTGACCAAGAATGCAAAAATCACTCTCAAAGAGCTTCAGGACCTGGAAGAACATGCCAGCACCTCAACAAGGTTAGCTGAATTTAACCAGTCTGGCCTTTACGGTTGAACAGTCCCTGAACAGAAGGCCTCAAGGTATATTTCCAAAACAGCATTTTAAAGCATTTGACAGATGACACAGATGACATTTCTTTTGTCCAGTGAGTGAAATGTTGATCTGAGCAGACCTCAAAACATTACATTTGCTTAAAACCAGGCACTGCACATCATTGTCTAATATCATCTGTTGTTGAAGTGTGGTGGTGAAAACATCAAGCTGTGGTGTGCTTTGCAGCAGTGGGAACAGGGTGATTAGAGAGCTAAAAGAAAACATGGCACTTTACAGCTGCTTTTGAATCAGTTAGATTAACTTTGACAGGATTTGCCAAAAAAGTGTAAAATTGTGTAAAAATAGGTAAATTGTTCTATTTCAGCAGTGCGAATCGTGTAAGGACTAAACCAAAAAAAAAAAATGCTACTGAGTGCCAATAGATGCCAAAAGCCCTTAATTATCATGTTGAATTAAGGTTCTTATTTGATTTATTTAAATACAGTAGCAATCCCTAATGTCATGTTTTCATGTATTTAATAATTGTTGTCAATGGAAAAATGCTAATTCTATTTCTTAGCTGAACCAGCAATACAGGGGAAACAAGCAGCTACAGGCAGCTACAAGTTTACACCATCCAGATCCACATAGTAGTTAAATAAATGCAAAGACTTTTGTAAAAGGGAAATGTAACCATAAGAATTGTAAGTGGAAGTATGTGAAATACTGATTACTTTCAATAGCTTATTCACTTATTAGTCACTTTAAAATAGGCTCCAGCCCCCGTGAACCTGATATGGATAAGCAGAAGAGAATGGATGGATGGATAATTACCTTAGATTACTCTTTAGAGCAAGGGCTAGAAGCATCCACCATATATGTCATACCATATAAAGCAGCACAGAATGACACCAAATGACCATTTCTCAGCATCTCTTCTTCTGACTATCACAGCTGACAAATCTTTCTTGACATTAACAAATGCAGCTGACATCAAATAATGACCCTTAACTAATCAACCAAACAAAATGGCATTAACCTCTGAACAAACGTATTACAAACACTAATTCACTAATTTTATGTGTGCACTCTTCCCCAATCATACACCATCTTCCTGAACAACCAGTCAAAACTTTGATCAAAAAGCATACATGTTTACTCTTCTACCATTGTGTGAGAATCATTCCTTTTTCAGTGTAACAGTTTGCACGTGCTTGCATCACATTTAGCAACAGGCCCAAACATGACAGACGCTGAGTACTGCACTACAGTATTTCATCAGAAAAAAGAAGCAAGTTTCATTTGAGGTCTTATCAGAGCACCTTTGACCCCTCACAACATGAGCCAAGAACAGAGTCCACTGGTCAACATAACAGCCATTCGGTAACAGCACTGCTGAAAAACAAACTCTGAATATTCATCCTATGTTTTTAATAGCCTTATTACCTGAATGGACAACAATATCGCAGTTAACATTGTTTATGTTAATTTTTGCCTGCACGATGAGTTCAGAAAGCCTCAGTGCTATTTCAGTGCGCTGCGCCTGCCTTACCACTAGGTGTCAGTGGAACGCAGAGCATTAAGTAAATACCTTTCAAACTAAATTTCAGCAAAGGTTGGAATGTTTTATAAATAACCTAAAGCTGGAGAGTATATGTGTGTGTATTTCTCCGTGTCTGTGTGTGAAGCTATATGTGGACCTGTTATTTTAAAAGCCCGTTTAAATAGTGTGCTTTAGCTTATTTTTAGTTTATGCTAAGTAGATTCTAATTAAATTAACGTATTACAGTGTTGAATCATAGGATAGGCAACTTATTGAAAAAGCCCTGATCAAGGTTTTATCTGGAGCATTGTGACGATTAACTCCATGATTACTCTTACAGTTGCTGGGGTCACCAACTCAGAAATCAAATAAGCACTGCCCCCTCCACGCACGCGCGTGCAAGTCCACACATTTTTAAGGAAATTAACTAGGCTACTTTTTCTAGGGCAGTTGGCACCTATCAAGTAACTGCAAGGGGTGTTTGCGGTATCACGTCTTTTTTTGAGGGGGGGGTGTTTACTGATTTTTATGAAACATGTGACTGAATTAGGCGCTCACATGGCTGCTGTGGCTGCATGATCGGCTTTAGTTTTTTAAAGTTCGGTTATCGGTAGCTCCCTCGGCTGGGACCATCTGGAGCAGAAGACCCCTGAAAAACACTGCGCGTATACGGACAAATCATGGCGAACAGTGGGCAGAAAGTTGTGCTGATCACCGGCTGCTCCTCCGGCATCGGGTTACGAATTGCCGTCATCCTGGCCAAAGATGAAAAGAGTCGTTACCATGGTAAATGCGCTTTCTTCTACATTGTTTGTTTGATCGGACCTGTTTGTAACAAGCCTGCAATATTGTGGTTCGCTTGAAATACAATTTCGTGCTTATTTTTCCCTGCAACACGCTGCAAGCTTCCTTTACGCATAAAGTTTGATCAAGTTTCATGCGCAACGCTCCGTCTAAACGCTCATACGTGATCTAGCGTGGGTTAAATTAAAATGCTAACCCCTGTAATATCGGATCCATATCCCTTTGTAAGCACTGGGATTCAGTCGCCCCTTTGACTCGACTATTATCATCTGAAAGCGCAGTTTCCAGGGTAGGGCTCTGCAAGGATGCCGCTTGCCAGGCAGGATTCATAAAAGAGGTCTTGTCAGTTCTCTTTCAAGTGACTTCTCCAGCACAAAGCCCCCTTTTATTGCAGTGAATTGTAGACCGCCTGCTCCGGTTTAGTGCCGTGTCTAATGTGCCCATAGTCCCCTCACTGGAGCGAGTGTTGAAAGGGGGACAAAGTTTGAGACCTGTACAAGCGAGGGTTCACTCTAAAGCAAGGGCCTTGTTTGAAGTCTTCATTGGTAGGCAGTGGAGTTAAGGTTTCACACTTTGACACTGTTGGTCCTCTCCTGCTTCCCAGCTATTATTAATGTCACTGGAGGAAGTAGAACTGAATCAAAAAATCCTCCTGTGTCAATTTGTGGAGCCTCAGACAGAATTATGTTAGAGGGGTTTGTACCAAGAGCCTTGTGACCAGATTTTGTTTTTAGCTATGACTCTAAACTGTATAATTTGCCATAAAGCTACAGTCAGCCCTTTCTTACTTTGACAGGTTATGGACAGTTAGAATTGTCATTATTAACATGGTATGAACAACTGGACAGGGTTCAGTAAACCTTGTTTTTTTTTTGTTTTTTTTTTTTTCCTCTGTCTCTTGTTAGGGCCACTGGGATATGATGGGATTTATTACTGCGAAATAGATGAGGAAAACAAAACCTCCCTCCCTCCCAACACTGGTTTGGTTTGAACAGTGTGACCTGCTTTCAATAAGGCCACATCTTGGCGATTGCATTGATCTGCTCTATTCCTTAGGAAATCCAGCAGCGATTAAATATTGCGTTGTGGATAAAGTAGGAATTAGTTGCAGTGACATGGATGAAATTCAGAGAAGGCCTTAAAATACCCCTGTGTTTGCAGTGTGGTTCATTCAAGAATAGTTAAGCTGCCCAGTTGTAATTCCTTCAGGAGCATTTAGAACAATAGACCTCTTGTTCATGTCTCAATCAAAACGCAAAGCTTTCTGTTGCTTCCTTGAAACCCTTCCTGGACACCCTGGTCTCAAGGAGACCCAATTACTCTTCATAAGATGTTGTTTATGCGTAGAGCATATATGACAGACACACAGACAGACAGATAGATAGACATTGTTATACATCATGTTGCATCAGTAACACTGCACAGCAGTCCAAGCCTCCACAGCAAAGTGGTCCAAATCTGATTACTTATCCAACCTCATCTCTGTTCACATGAGAATAAGGTGAGGATTTGCTTTTGTCTGCCAATGACAACAGGTAGACTTAGGTGAAAATTTGAATAAGAGGTTGTTTATTCCTGCCTATTGCCATTGTGCAACACCAGTGCCTCTGTTTTCTCAGTTACATAACGCCAGTCTGCCAAGTGTAAGCAGAGCACACAAAAAGGAAGAAGCTGTGGAAGCCAAGTCAGCGGCGCTTATATTCATTGTTGTTGGTCATGGTAGATTCCTCCGCTTTATGTAGGTTAATGTTCCCCAGCGGGTAAAGTTCAGAGGAAATCAATTCTGTCCCCTGTAAACTAACAGGCGTGGTCTTTTCCAGGAACTCTGACCCACACGTCTGAGTGTCACTATCTGAGCATGTGTGGGTGCTTGTTTGTTTTTACACTGGTGTGTTTGTCCAAGAAAAAAAGTTAATTTAGTAACGTCACTTGAGTCCTCTGTCACTTCCTCAGCATTAAAAATATAATGATTGCATTAATACTTTCATATTAAATGCAACAGTGATAGTCAGAAAAATGTGTAAATGCATTAATATCTTAAAATAATAAACTGTTCCAGTACTGATAATTTTAAGTGCTCCTCACATTCCTAAACATTTCTTTGCCGCTTCAAGTTGTGTTAGATGACACTTTTCCGCTATCATATCTATTTTTGCAAAGTCTGAAGCCACATTATCTCCATACAGTTCTCTGTGTCTCCCTATCAGTCATTGCCACGATGCGGGACCTGAAGAAGAAGGACAAGTTGGTGGAGGCAGCTGGAGACGCATATGGAAAGACCTTGACGTTGCTTCCATTAGATGTGTGTAGCGATGAGTCCGTCAGGCAGTGCGTCAATAACGTTAAGGACCGCCATATTGATATTCTGAGTGAGTGGGACACAAAGTGTATATCTCTTTAAAAAGCAGGTCATGATGATCGATTCTCTGTCCTTGGATAAGTGTATGTTTGTTTTTTTATTATGTGTTTTACAAGAGTTTATACACAGAATTATTTTTTTAACATATGATGGAACACTATCGTTCTGCTTCATTTTATAGTTTTGCGTATTCAATAGAAAGTCTATGCTATTTATAATATCATAGACATAGATTTTATTTAATCACACACTGGGGAAATTCAACTGTTTACAGCAGCTCAAGAATTAGAGATGTATGCAAAAACACTATAATATGTACAGATGGTTACAATATGAACATAAAGTGCAGTGGGAATGATAATAATATACATGTATTTATAAAAAGTAAAGCCCTGTGCTATTGCTAAAGTTATAACAACAGTTCAGGAGAAAGGCTTTGATTATTTGTGAAACAAATATTTTAAACAGTAGTTGCACTGCGCAGTTGACACTTAGAGTATGTGGAGGGAGGAGTCTGAGTCTTAAAATTCCAGTGGTCAGAAAGATTATGGACCAAAACTGAATGGGCTACCACATTAATAACCCGAGAGAAAGATAGCTGAAGCTAAGCTTACAGCACTGTGCAGCTGCAATACTTTATTTTTCTGAATAGTAATCCTCACAACTAAAATCTCACAATGTGTGATCCAGAATTTATCAAGTAATTTTATAGTGCAGTAAAGTCCATTTTACCAGATCTTCTGAATACGTAACGCTTTTCACTTATGGTCCTTAAACCTTTAGCCTGGATAAAGTATTTATTTATAAACCTGTCTCCATCTTAGTCTAAATCCAGCATTAAATCCCCTTTCGCCTAATTACTCAAGACCCAAAGGCTCTTCAGCCTGGTGTTACGTCAGACCTTCATGCTGTTGTCACATACTGACATCTGGTGGCAGTATCAAGTAAAATCAGCTTTGTCAAAGGAGCTTGTAAAGAAAAGCGTCTGGACTTCTTTAAGTTGCTTGAAGACGTTTCACCTCTCATCCGAGAAGCTTCTTCAGTTCTAAGATCAATCTAGGACTCTCTGCCATTTGACCTTAGAACTGAAGAAGCTTCTCGGAAGTCCAGACGCTTTTCTTTACAAGCTCCTTTGACTACGATGACCTGGATGACTGAGAACCTTCACAGACATAAAACCAGCTTTAACTAACAAATGGTCTAATGAAGTAATAAAGTCAAATATCGCTCTATTTCTGTTTGTTTTTGTTTTTTGATCATTGCATTTACATAATCTGTGTGTCTGTTTCCTGCCAGTCAACAATGCAGGTGTGGGCTTGCTTGGACCTGTGGAAAGCATCAGCATTGAGGAGATGAAAAAAGTATTTGAGACCAACTTCTTTGGAGTGGTTCGTATGATCAAAGAAGTGATGCCAGACATGAAGAAGAGGCGTTCAGGGCACATTATCGTCATGAGCAGCGTCATGGGTCTTCAGGGTATGAGTATAATTAGTTATGCATAAGAAAATTTGTAGTGCTATTCTAACTGAACGTCAAAAACATTTTGAGAATGACAAATTACAATAAACTGTGTAATAGACCGTTTATTGTAATCTATTAAGCTACATGTAGGTTCTTAATCTGGCAACTTTGGTTGGTATAAGGCTTACTGGATTCCTGCATATCAAAAGAGAACATATTGAATATACATTTTGACGATTAAACAGTCAACAGTCTCCATAATCACTCATAATGACTTGCAAAACACTCTGCACGTGTTCCAAAATTTTAGCTTGGTATAAGCTGACATTGTTTTATCCAAAAGGAAAGTTAACAGCATTTTTATCTTTATGGTTTGAAGTTATATCTGTAGATTTAGTAGATGAAACTGTTAGGTAATTTAAATGATTTTTTAAAATTCATTATTATATTAATATTATTATTCGTTGGTCTCTGTTTCACATTTCCAGTAAAGCTCTGACAACTTACAGTAATTTGAGTCAAACTGCAAGTTCTTGCAAAGAATTTTTAGTGTTTGTTTTAACTTGTTTGAAGTAGCATAATGGTGGCCTCCAGCAAAGCAGGTTGGACGCTTTCTGATAAACTGCTGAATTAGCTTGCATAATGTCTGACACTTGTGTTGTCCTGCCTGCTACTTTTTTTTAACCCTAGTCCTTTATCTGTAAATCAAGTGAGTGATTTCTATTCTTGATTGAGTACTTTGAAATCTCATTCTACGGTGCATTGAGCTTCTTTATCTCCTCTTGTTGTTCTTTAATCAGGTGTGGTATTCAACGATGTTTACACTGCTTCTAAGTTTGCAATGGAGGGCTTCTGTGAGAGTTTGGCTGTGCAACTGATGAAGTTCAATATCAGGTAGATTACCCTCTTTCCTCTATTCTTCCTTCACATGTGTCTTTATTTTCAACTGAAAATACCATCCCCACTGATCACACTGTATCTAACTTACCCCAGGTTGTCCATGATTGAGCCTGGCCCAGTGCACACTGAATTTGAAACGAAAATGATGGAGGATGTGGCTAAGATGGAGTATCCGGGTGCGGATGCTGACACAGTTCGTTATTTTAAAGACGTATACCTGCCATCATCAATAGATATATTTGAGGCCATGGGCCAAACACCAGATGACATAGCTAAGGTAAAAGAATTGGTTTCTAACCCCTACACTGAACCCAGTTCAGGAATTTGTGTTGATGTTCTGCGTGCAGCCGTTAAAATGTTCTGTTGCTTCTTGTCTTTTCCAGTGCACTAAAAAGGTTATTGAGTCAAACAACCCTCGCTTCAGGAATCTGACCAACAGCCTCTACACACCCATTGTGGCCCTGAAATATGCCGATGAGACTGGAGGCCTGTCTGTAAACACATTCTACAATCTACTCTTCAATTTCGGCCCTCTCATGCACATCACCATGAGCATCCTCAAGTGTTTGACGTGCAGCTGCCTGCGTAGACGCACTATCTCACCTAACTGAAGATGGAGTGTGTAATTCTGTCACTTAACTTTAACCTCCCAGTTTGTTGAACGGAGGTTTCCTGAACAGGCTAGACTAGAGCAAGTAACCTGGAGAGAAGAGCCACCTTTTAGTTTAAAGACAGAGCCACAATAAGCTTCTCAAGACAACATGCACAGCTGCACAAGTTTGTCACAGAGATGTTATATATAGGGTGACCTTATGTACTGACACAGAAACATGCATACACCACAACACACACATACAAACAACACACACATTGGATTATTGTATATATAATATGACGAGGAACTCATGCCAGAGTCTGGGTAGTATGACAAGAACTGAACAGCTGCTTTGTAAGTTGTTGGATATATATGTTGTTAAATGAAAACGTAAAGATGGAACTTAAGATTGAAACACATGGACAGATGTCAAAGCACAAGAAATAAATTAAGATGATGAGAGAAACCATAAAATTATAATAAATATCACAATCACAATACCATAAGTTGCAACCTAGGTATTGCTTCATTACTCATCAGAGTAATGACATATAAGACAGAGTCAGAATATATGATAAATATATATATAAATATTTCATCTTTTGTTCTTCAGTGCCCTTAATTTTATGTTCATCTTAATATAATGTTCGCATGGTCATAACTGCTGTTGAATCATATTTCTAATCTTTGATAAACCGAATGTTTGTTTGTTTTGGTTTGGGTTTGTTTTTTCAAGTTTTACGAAGGGCTGGATCAGATACTTTTACCAAGCAAATTAATGGAAAAAATAAAGTGAATTCTGATTTACTCTGAATGTTTTTTTAAGAACACAAATAACAAAAAACGTGACCACTTTGACTTTGAAAGCTCTCTGTCTGACAGACTCAGTCAACACCACAGGGGGGCGGCATTTCACTGTTTTACCCTGATTCCGAACCTGTGGATTACACGGGACATGCACTGATTTTTTTACAGTATTATTCACATAAAAGCACAGTTTTCAACAAAATATTCCATTTGCCTGAAGTAGTTCTGGGGTCCTGACATTGTGCTTTCTGGCTCACCAGTATGGTTTACTGAGACATCTGGTGCAGTGAAATTTACTTCACCTGTGTTTTCCTACTGCTGAGAAGCAGCTGAAGTTGTCCAGGAACTGGTATCTACTTGAGACAGACAAGTAGGACAATATTTAATTAAATTAGTTTGAGAAACTGGCCATTACACTTATTTTTCACTAGCTATATTTGTAACAATTTATCTATTAGTAATAAATGTATCAAGGTTAAACCCTATGGATATTTTGAAAATACTGGTTGAAAAAAATATAATAAGAGAATGTGTTCAAAAATCATTTTTTAATTTCATACACAGGTCAAAACAAAAACTCCTGCATAAGGCCAATTTTTGAGCACACACTTAAATTTTTGTCAGTGAGACAAATTGTCTGTGCTCATGCACAAAAATTAGCATGTGTTTGCATGCATGTGAATGTGTTTGTGAATGTGTTATAAGACCATGTCTATGGGCCAAGATAGTGATCTGTTGATGGATATAAAGAGGTCATGGCCTGCTCCCCATCAAAACCCCTCCCTTGAACCCCCAACCCTCTCACACACACACCCGGCTTTGTGCCGTGTGAGAGAATGTGACCTGGTTCCCATCCCTGAGGAGGGGTGAAAACTATTGACAACCTCAGACACATTTTGCGCAGCCCCGAGCCTCCCTCTCCAGCTGGCCCTCTTAGCCTATCAGGCCTGGACCCCCTGGTCCTGGTCCACAGTGGGTGAGGCCTGCAGTATGGCCAAAGCAGTCTAGCCATTCTTCCTACGCACTCTGTCCTATCATATTTTGCTATGACCTTCCATGCACAAAGCTGTTTACGCACACCTAGTCTGAATGCACAGACAGTGCAACTGGTTGCAGACCTGTAGTTTCTGCACAGTGTACAATGAGTGCAGTGCCTCGGCTCTGTGTATGTGTCTTCATCAGAGGCGACAGCTCAGCACAATGGAACAAAGACACTGTCAATCACAATCAAATGGGTGTGTGTACAGGGGTTGGAGGGGAAGGGGAATAGGGAATCTGAGGAGGTTGGGGGAGGAGTCTGTATGTTCTGAATGTTCAGGGGGATGCCAAGACCCAATGTGGGACACCGAAGGCTAATGGCAGGGGGTGCGGTGTGTCGCACTTGGGAAAATGAGAATTAGGGTGCCTAGACCTGAATGGAAGACCTATTTACTAACTGAATGAACACAAGAGTTAAAGCAAAGTCTCATTAAACAAGAGGTCTTATTAAACCATTGTTTTGTACCTTTGTTTCACAATTGAGAATGTCATTGCAATATAATGAGGGTAATGCGATGTGGTTAGGTCTTCCCTTAATTGTAACCCTGTCACAATTTCTGAGCCTGTAAACATACTCTGGCTCTGCCCTTATGCAGCATTGATGTGTACTTAGCAGTCAACCACTTGCATTTTCGGACAGAAAATATATGAGTACAAACAGCTGAATGAAAGAAGGAGAACCTCAGTAGTTATCTTTGGCATGTTAGTGGGATACATTCTTTTCAATCTGTCTGCATGGGCATTTTACCACATCCAGCTTTCACTGTCATCATCACCACCAAATAACCACACCTAAGCCTGAAACCGACAGTAATAAGAAAACAGAGAGTCAAAGATCAAAAAGAAAAGATAGATGCAAAGGGCAGAAATTTGTGAGAACCAAGCTGTGAAAATGAGGGCAGACAGGAAGAGAAGGGAAGTGCAAAAAGGCAAAGAGAAAGGGAAAGAGACAGAGCCGTGGGATGCTACTCAAAGTGATGCTGACGTCTAGACAGGGTGCTTCAGTTTCATCCCAGGTCAGCTAGGATTATCCAACTTCTATTTTTACTCCAATTTCTATTTAAAAACATTTTGACTATCTGTGAATAATATTACAGAAAAAATAATAAAAATGGCTGCATTAATTTCCATAGGAACAGAAAGGTATAATTGAGAGATTAACTGTGTATGCCATAACTATACTTTGTACTCTTCTGCATCTTTCTGTGCTCTGTTGTCTTCTCCTTGCACACATCCTTACTCGTCTTCCTTTTTCACAGGAGGCTGCTGTCCTCATAAAAGTTTATCTGAGCAAGCTCCTCCTCCTCACAAATTGTTGCAATTTATTTCATTTTAAACAACACAGCCTGTGTGTACAGGAAACAATTGAAAATCATCATATCAACCAAGAATTTGCAATTTGTTCAAAGGAGTCAGAAACTGCTTTACTGGTACGCAGTAGACATTAGACAAAATTTAAGTTAAAGCAACAGTTCTTAAAGGTTTAATGCTTATGGGAGAAATGGGTTTAAGTGGCAGAGAAAACCTGGAACGAGGCTGCATAGGGTGAACGAGGCTGTGAATGGAGATGTAGCCACATGGGGCACATAACTATCCTTAAAGTTGAAGTGAGGTCTGAGGGGAACTATCTGTCTTCATATAATAAAAACAGGAGAAGCCCTAGTTGCCCTGTGGCTGACTTTTGGTAGCTGGGTTCATTAGGGCAGCATAATCCACAGAGAGAAACAAAAAGCACAACCTCTTCTCCATCTCCCTTGTTTTCTGTCACTTCTTGATTTCTGACATTCCCTTTCTCTTTCCTTTCATTATATCTGAGCCACACTGTCTGGCTCCCCTTTCCACTGTCCTCGATAGCTCCACTGTGCAATGACCTCTTACAGACTCAACATGGGTCACTTGGAGAGGGCGTCATTAGCTCACATTCTGAGTAGAGCTTGTTTTCAAGGTCATTCAGGATTATTTAGAATAAAAAAAAAATCTTGGCCCTCGCCATACAAATGGTTTTACAGACACAGAACTCCTATTGTCACAGTCATTATAACATTAGTGTTGTCCACTTTCGCCACAGCTCTTCCAGAACATAAACACTCTGTCAGGAATTTCCAGACCACGACTCAGTTTGCCTACTACCAAGTCGTATTGTTCTGCTTTGTTCATATTCTCAAAATTACCAGTTTGACAGACTGCCGTCCTGTGATTAGAAGGTTCAATCTGTGTACAGGCATTATACATCTTAAATAAGGGGATGGTGGTTGATTGTGCGGGGCTTAAAGATGATGTAATCTGAGCTGGGGTAACACGATCAGCTTTTTTTTTTTTTTTTTTTTTTTGGACAGTGAGGTCAGCCTGGTGTAATATTCCATAAGATAAGCCTGACAGCAAAGCCACTGGCGTCATTGCACAAATCTTACTCAAAACCAGAAACTCCTGTTTGAGAGGGCAAGACAGGGCAAGAAGCATGAGTCCAAAGAGAAATGAACAAAAGCACAATCACCAGTATGAACAGTTAGATTAACAAATCTCTCTTTTCATACTTTTTAGACAACTCCTGTTTCTTTCTCTAAATTATAATCTCTCACTGCATCTTCCTGTTTCTCTTACTCTGTGTTTTAATTTAGTGTCTGGGAATTTCATGCTGTGAAGCATTTATATTTTTAATTTACAGAAAAATAACAACAGGCTTTGCTTTCTGGTTCAACCAACACAGAGGAGGGAATATTTCCAACCATCGGATGCTTTTAATTTGTTTCTCGAGGATGGTTGTGTTTCCCCTTATGCCTCTGGCAGCCAGAGTTTAGTGGATGTTCATGTGCATGCATGGATGAGTCAGATGGAAAGAAGACTACACAGATAGCCCTTAGTCCTTACTCTCTGTGTGATACAGTTACCTCATCAGAGAATCTATTGCTGTTGAAGTTTTCCCTTGCCTGGCAACCCTGGCTGTATCCCAGCCTCTCTGATCAGCCCTGCCATGGGTATGATCTATTTACAGTCGCCAAAGATGAGAAACCTAAAAGGGTTCAGGCACACCCACACCAGGAAGCCTGTCTTAACCCAAAGAGGCCAGATCATTGTTTATTCAGCTTGAGTGCATCACATTTTGGCAGCAAAGGTGAGAGTGAATAGACATTCAAAATCCAAGTTCATAAGAACCTAATTATAACAGAGTTTAAAAAAGTCCCTCACTTAAGCATATGGAACATGCTCACAGAATGCAGAACCAATAGGCATGTGATCATCTCCTTCATTTAAGATGAGATGAACAGTCTTCTTTGTGTGGCATTTATGGCTCCAGCAAGACTGATTCTCCTCACCCCCCCACACACACACCCCCGATTTGATTTATTTATTTATTTTATCAAAACAAAAGAATGCCTCCTCCGATTGACCGTGAAAAGATGTTCATAGCTTTGTGCCGAGTGAAGAGATGTCTTTGTTGTTATCTCCACTGGTGTAGCCACCTCCATTTGGCTCAGTCTAATCAGAATACAAACACGCCTCTGTCATTTGGCCGGACTCCCTCTCCATTTCTGTCTCTCTCTCAGTGTGTCTGTTATTAACAGATACTTTCAATGACTTTCTTCTGCTTCCCCTGCTTCCTCATTTTTGGATTTTAAATTATTTCTCCTCCTAACTCTAAGCAAAGAAAATCACACCACAGCTCTCTTCTTCTCTCTGATTTGTTTTCTTGCTTTCACATTCTTTCTATCTAATCTACTAGATGGTGTGTATCTCCCTGAGGCTCTAACAGAGAGACCTCACACACATTAACTTCGCTTGTATGTGAAAAGCCTGGTTGCGGTTGCTGGGGGGGAAGTGTTGCACTGTAAAGGGCACCCCTGAGGGAGAAGTACTCTTGTTCAAGCTTATAGTGCAGGTAAAGGTAGCTACATGAGCATGAATCAAAACAAAATGCCTTCAACAGAACCTGCTCAGAAATGCTCTGGACAAGGAAAATTTACACAGAAGTTAAGGCAGTATCACTGAAACCCAAAATATATATACAACATAAATTTGTATGTATAAAGCTAGCACTTTTTAGATTTTCAAATGTCACTTTCAGAAATAAATAGTTTGCAGTTTTCAGTATTAAATATTTAAAATCTTATTGGGAAAGGCCTCGTATTTCAAAGCAAGGACAATATGTGCGACTGCAACTGCTCTCCCTGTAAACTTCACGCCTTCAGGCAGAGGGAGGTGGTCATAATGTTGATAGTGTATATGTGTTGTGAAAAAATCTTTTGATAATGAAAATAAAACACATGTTCATTTTAAATATCACAGGTAAAAAAAAAGGCATCTCAGCTTTGTGCCAGACTAAACTTAAAATATGTCTTTCACAGTTGGATTTGGGTATTTTCATAATTGTTTCTGCATAATGCTAGAAGCAGATTATGTAGTCATTTGCCAAATACTTACTGGGCTGTAATGAGTAAAAGAGCAACAATGGAGTTCACTGGGGATGGCAAAACCGCAAAAGGGGTGCAGTTCTCTGCAGGTATCTGGACTGCCAACAGACTGGGAATGCACTCTCCCTGCTGAACTATAAATTCCACTTAAGTATAATATTTATCATGGACTAAATTAGGAGAGGGTAGGGAACAAAGAGGTTAGCTTAACTGGATGTAATAACTTATTTATTACAGAACAGACACTGCTGTGAAGCTCAGCTTAGTTCAATGTTCGTTATCTAACTTTGCAAACTTAATAGTGCAGTGACATCAGTTGCATGAATAAATTAGATAGATGGACAGTACTGTGGTGGAGATGTTAGTATGGTGGCCTTAAGAAAGTTCTGGGTTAGAATCTGTATGTCTTCTTAATTAATAA